TGAAGGACAGAAGGTTCCAGCAGCGGCCTCCCAGGCCTGGCCCCCACCCTGCAGAGCCAGGCCTGAGGGAGGAGAGGGGACCGCGCCCACCGCCAGCCAGGGACACTGGCCCTTGTCACGGGTGCCCCCCAGTGGCCTCTGTCCTGCTAACGTGTCTTTCTCATCCCAAAGTCAGAGCGGCCACTGGGTAGACAGGGAGGGAGGGAGGGGAGGACTGGATGCAGGTTCCCCAGCCCCTGGGGTGGCCCAGTGCTGCAAGCTGGGAGGGAGGGCTTCCTGGAGGAGGAGGACTGAGCTCAGGGGTCCCAGCCACCAAGCCCTGTCCCCAGCCCTATTCTGTGTTTTAGTGAGAGACGGGGCTTCCCTGAGCTGCTCAGGGCCTCGCTCTTGCTGAGGCTGGCTTTGAACTCGCGATCCTCCTGCCTCAGCCTCCCGAGTGCTGGGGTGACAGGCGTGGGCCACCGAGCCTGGGACTTGGAGCTGGGTGTCCAGGGGTAGGTGGCCCTCGGGCCTCGGCCTCCTCTGGAGGAGACGCTTGGAGGAACAGTGGCCTGTCACACAGGGCCTGGGGCTCTGTGTGGGGAGGTGACACTGGAGGCGCAGGGGCCTGGAGAGCCAGGGGAGGGGGCCTGCCTTGCCCAAGGGCCCTGGGGAGCCGTGGGGGGCCATGAGCAAGGGGGGCCCCAGCCGCGTGTGAGGTGGCATTTCTACCCTCGTCGGGGTCACACTGAGCTCACGGGTCTCACCTTCCCGGTGCCACCTCTGGGCACCACCCCCTCCCTCTCCCCCTCCTCCCCCCAGGGGCCCTTGTCAGCTGCCAGAGAAGCTCCCAGGGACGCCCCACAGAGTGGGGGAGGGGAAGCAGGAAATTGTAGGTCACAGGAAATCATCGTGACAAGGGCAACCGCAGAGGCCCCCCCTCCGTCTTCCTGGGGAGAGTGACCTTCAGCCCAAGAGGGAGGAATCCCCTCCCTTTGGCCAAGGTCCCTAGGGGGCGATTAGGGAGGGTGTGGAGGGGTGAGTAGGAGTCTGCCAGGAGAGGATCTCCTCCCCCCCAGCCACCGCATTTACAGGTGCCCGTCCACAGGAACAGCCCCTGCCACCAGCGGGGACTCGTCAGCCTCCAGAGCGTCGAGCATGGGGGGGGAGGTCTTGCTCAGGGCCTCGCTGTGGCTGAGGCTGGCTTTGAACTCGCGATCCTCCTGCCTCAGCCTCCCGAGCTGCGGGGACGACAGGCGTGGCCACCGCGAGCAGCTTTGAGGAGAGTCCTGAGGACACTCTGCTTTGGCTCCCGAGTGTCCCCAGGGCCCTGGTCTTCAAGGCTTGATTCTCCACCGACAGCGCAGTTGGGACCTTTAGGAACCAGGTCCTCGGGGAAGAAAGGTGTTTGGGTGCCCGCTCTCGAAAGGGATCATGGGACCCAGATCCGGACACTCTTCTTTGCTTCCTGGCACCAGGAGGAGAAGGGGCCCTGCCGTGGGCTCCCACCATCATGGAAATTGCTGTCAAGGCCCAGAGCCACGGGGCCCCGCAACCAAGGACTGAAATGTCTAAATCCATGAGCCAAAGGAGACCTCCTCTCCTTCAGGTGGATCGCCTCGGGCATCCTGCCACAGGAGGGAAGGCCAGAGACGGAGGGGTGAAAGGCCACAAGGAAAATGTAGTTTTCACCCAAGAAATGCCCTCCGAAGGGCCTAGAGAATTTGAGTGGATTTTAAGAACTTCTTCAAAATGGAGAAATTGGGGCTGGGGTGGTTGGTGGCTCAGAGGCAGAGCACTTGCCTAGCACTCGGGGGGCACTGGGTTCGATCCTCAGCACCACAAAACTATAAAACAAAGATACTGTGTCCACCCAGACTAAAAATAAGTATGAAAAAAATCACCTTCAATCAATCAGTCAATCAATGAACGCTCCCTGTTACCTCCTGGGACGCCATTTGGAAGAGAGCACTGGGTAGGAGTTCCCCAGATGAAGCAGGGGCACCTAGGACCTGTTTGGTGACTCCTTGGGCAGGTCCCCAATTACTGCCCACCCCAACAACCTCTGGTTCATGGACACACGCGCTCTCTCTCTTTCTCTCTCTCTCTCTCTCTTTGACCAGTGAGCTTTTTAAAAATAATATATTTTTGGATGTTGGTGAATCTTTATTTCATTCACTTATCTATACGCGGTGCTGAGAACCCAACCCAGGGCCTCCCACACGCCAGGTGAGCCCCAGGTCCCGCCCCAGGGAACCTCTCTTTTCCCAGGATTCCAACCAAAGTCTCAAGAAAGGCTGTGATTGGCTGAGCCTGTGGGTCACAAGCCCACCTGGAACCAATCACAGTGACTGATAAAGGATAAAAGGCTGAGGTCACCTGGGGGTCCTGCTTGGACTAAAAGTGAACTGGGAGACAGAACCAGCCAGACCAGAGCAGTTGTCCCTTACAGGACGAGAACTTCCAGTCCCTTGCGCTTCACCTGTCCCCGGCTGTCAGTGAGACACAGGACAGCCAGTTGAGCTAGAATTTCAACACGCAATGCTTTAGCATATCTATGTCCCAGCTATTACAGGGGACATATTTATACCGAAAAATTATACACTGTTTGTTGAAATTCGAGTTTAACTGGGTGGCCGCTTTGGAAAACAGTCTGGCGGTTTGTCACAAATTTAAAACATAGAATCAACATATGGCCCAGAAAGTCCACCGCGAGGTACGGGCCCAAGAGGATGGAAACATACATCCTTACGAAACCTCCCAGGCAGACAGACAGCGGCTCTATTCCAAAATTTATAAAACCCTGATGACTGTCAAGGGATGAGCAGATGAACAAAATGTGCCCCGACCACACCACAAGATGCTATTTGAGCATAAAAAGGAATGAAGTAGTGATTCACCACAACGTGGATGAACTTTGAAAACACGATACCAAGTGGAAGAAACCTCCCACTGTGGAGCCGACCACAGGGTCTAGGACTGCATTCATACCAAGTGTCCAGAAACCCCCAGTCTACAGAACAGAAAGCTGACTGGGGTCCCAGCAGATCGGGAGGCTGGGGCAGGAGGCTCTCGAGTTCAAAGCCAGCCTCGGCAACTTAGCAGAGCCCCTGCCTTTAAATAAAATACAAAAAAATAAATAAATAAATAAAGAGCTGGGGATGTCGCTCAGTGGTTAATGCCGTGGTTTCAATCCCCAGTACTAAAAAAAGCAAATAAATAAGGAGAGAGAGAGAGAGAGAGAGGAAGAGAATCACAGGGAGCCGTAGCTAATGAGGACAGGGCCTCTTCTGTGGATGGGGAAGCCGCCTGGATGAGATGGTGGTGGTTGTGCAACTCTATGAATATGCTAAAAATCCCTGCATTGCACATTCTAAAAGGGTGAACTGTCCCGCTCTACCACTAGGACACACCCCAGCCCAATTATGTCAATTTTAATGAGAAAACGAAGTATTCCCAGCACCCCGTGTTTTTATATGCTCCATCAGGCCACCATAAATTGGTGCAATCTTATAGCACCTTGAGACATTGGGTCCAATGACACTTCCTAGGATCCCCTACAGCCAGAAAATATATTCCAGTGTCCAGTTTGAACAGGGGACTTGGGGAGGCAGGTGGTGGCAGGGAAAGAGGCTGCAGGGGTTCTCTCAGGACATGGGGTTGCTCCCAGGCTCGGTTTCTCCTTCTGCAA